GTCTAGAAGTGCTTTGAACTGGGTACTAAATACAGCATGAAGAGCCGTCACAGGAAAATTATCCTACACCAACTATCCGAAATGAGAAAAACCGTTGCCTAATAAAGGTGTGCGCTCTGAGATTGAAAATCTTCCCATGCCCCCATCGTGTGTTAGTTGGGTCAACGGCGAAAAGCCTAGTGGTCAGACCTTGTTCAAACAAGGCATAGGTAAGTATTAAATCTCCTCAGAGGCGGCGATATTCCAGGGGAAAGAGGTCGAGCACCACGAGACTCCTTTCATAGTTCACGGATTTAAGGCCGGCAACAATTTTCGTAGAAACTAGCTGGACACGCTCAATGAGGGTTACGTCCTTCATGCATCCTGAGTAGACAACTTGGTTGGCAAATAAAAGAAGCGGTGTGACGTAGGCCCCATAAAGTATTTGGAAGTTCATGCGAGCAATAAGGGAAAAGGTGCGCCGAATCATCCGTAAAACAGCGAATGCCTTTTGAGCTGCGTTCTCATGGTGCAGTGAAAAGGACATGTTTGAAGAGAGCCAGATACCCAAATCCCTTATGGAATCTATCCTCGTGATGTTTTCTGGTCTATTCTCACCAAGCGCGACATTGCCGCTCGCTGAGTCTCCTCCGAAGGACATATGGACGCACTTTTCGTCATTCAAAGGAAGGTACCAATTCAACAACCACTGTTTCGTAGCGCCGACATTCAGTTGGAGAGCACTGGCATTAGAACTCCGGGACTTCAAGTCGTCCGTAAAACGTAGACAATGACCTGCAAGGACATCTGAAAGGTTGGTGATGTATATCAGACAGCAGTGGTTCCAAAACTGAACCTTGAGGAACTCCAATGTTTTGTGCACTCGAATGATTAAGCCAGAACAGAGAATGAGGATTGCCGAATGATAGGCTTTACTGTTCTTAAAATTTTAGTATATCAACTGAACCATCAGGAAACAGTTAATTTAATGAGTAGCGAATAAACAGTTTAACGCAACGTTCGTATATAACATTCTTCCCCTCCGGAAGGTTTATTGTCAGGAGAATATAGATCAAACCTCGTGGTTTCGAAGATTATATGGTCGAACACTGTTGGTCCGTGATGTACTGTGGAACATTCTCTGAAATTTCACTGAGTTGTTCTGGTGATGCCGTTTCGCCTCCAGGAGGATCAATCGAGTGTGACTGAGAAAGCGTTCAGCTGTAGCACCCTTCCGGTGCCTAGCTGCCATGCCACCCGAAGGGAGCACGAGGGCTGGGATACTGCCAGGTTGCCCAAGCCTAGACAGGGGAAGTCGAGTGGCGGAGGTCGGATTCGAACCGCGGACCTTCAGGTTAGTAAATCCGCGCTCTAACCACTTCGGCCATCTCGCCTGAGTCTCATCTTGAGGAGCGTCTACACGTTCGACTGACTCAGTTAAATAAACATAGGAAATTTTGTGCTTTGGGTGCCAGATGTCTAAGGGAAACGGTTTCTTTCTTTCCGTTCGGGAAAAGAACGCAGACATACTGCTAATTGCAGTTAACGAATTCCAAACCTTCCACTAACGGATCGTATTTGGAAGAACGTGTCATCCTTTTTAACAGAATGGGGCCTGGAGTCGATAACAAGGTCGGAAGAGAGGTGCCGTACGTTGACCGGTGGAAGTTAAGAAATATTTCATGTGCTGTTGTGTTAGAAGCGGTGCACAATAAAAAGCGAACAGAGTGCAAAGCATCCAGAAGCACCCACTACGCCCCGTTGTTCGGTCTTCAACGCCAGAATGATGGACTTTCAAAGAGTACTTCTGAGCCGTTCAATTTGTCCGTTATCGCGTGGGGGTAGTTCGACTAGTTGCCAAACTTCCGTCGTGAAGAAACGTTTGTACTTCACATAGCATGAAAGCTCCACCACGATCAGAATGGACGTACGAGGGCATTCCGAACAGAGAGGACAACTGATTAAAACGTTTGATCACGTGGACGAGGACATATCCGTACATGTGAAAGCAAATGGAAAACGGGGGTACTTGTCGACCATTGTTAAAAGATATTTGTTGTGGGAAGTCGATGGAAGTGGCCCTTTAAAATCGATGCTGATGCGTTCAAACGGTTGTGTAGCTTTGATGGACGTGCGCCACTGACTGGGCGATTGAACCATTTCCGCCAGTCATTAACTACTGGTGATTTGAGTCCCTGGGTCCCCATTAAGGGAGGTGGCAGTTGCCCACCCGACTAACTTTACTGGTTAGTGTTCTCATACTTCGTTGCCAGGTCATACACTATCCACCTCTCGGTCGCTTCCACTCAGCACAGGGCTGGGATAAAAGAGCTCTGTGAAGCAGACAGTTTTCTGCCATGAGGAGTACATATCCCAACCAGCATAACGTATGAAGCGTGAGTAAATCATCTATCGCGGGAGAGCTCCTTCTCCTTAGGACCATCTGGCGTACCTCAGCATTATTAATGCGATGTTCCCAGAAGACCTGACCAATGCTTCGGAGACACCGACGATCAAACATTGACATCTCTGCGCTAGGGGCCACATCTCTGATCCATAAAGTAGTATGGACAGAACAACAGCAATGTAAACCCTTCCCTTGAAGACAAGCTCACGTCACGTCGGCGCCATAGGTGTCGGAGTTGGCAAAAGCTGCCCTGGTCTTTCCTATTCGAGAAACAATCTCATCTCCAGCCAGTCCACCAGAACTTATACAGCTGCCCAGGTAAACAAATTTATCTACCACGTCGATTGGTTCACCTGAAAGCATGAGGCGTGGGTTTAATTCCACCCAGTCTTGTAGCAGCACTTTACACTTTGCAGGCGTGAAGCGCATGCCAAACGGTACGACAGTTATTTAGTTTAATTAAAATCGTTTACATTTGTGATCTGAACAAAGGAAGGCAATATTGTCATCATACTCTGTCTGTGAGGGAACGTCCCGGAAGCATCTCGACTGCCGAGGTTTTGGAGGCGGGTAGAGGAATTTTAATCAGCATATCAATAAGAAAGTTGAAGCCACTGGACGTAAGTGAGGGCTTCCCGTATACTCGTACGTTATCTGGAATGGAGATCTGATTATGGATGATTTAATGAATTTTATCTCAAAAACATGGGATCCAGTGTGCGTAGTATTCCAGCGTTCCGATCGATTTTCGTTGGGAACGACTGTCACAAGGATGAGGCAAATCCCTTAGGGCTCGAAAACGTTCAGGGTCTGGTTTTATCGTAAAGTCAGATATTTTGTATCTTAGTAATAGTACTTTGGCAGTAGCTAAGATGCTCCTCTCTGGGTTAAATGTAGTACGGCAACGTTTTGAGGCCCTTAGGAATTTCTTCGAACTTCGATCACGTCCCTTGGCATGGCGACCACACACGGTAACATTGTCAACATATACGAATGCATCGAGGAGACCTTTACGGCGTATGAGTTGTCTACGGTGTGTTGAAAGCAGGCCACATCATTAGTAACTCCGAACGGAATGCGGCGAAAGTGAAACAGTTTACAGCATGCCTCAAATACAGTATATGGCTTGTCTTCGTCGAGATCTGGTGGTACGCACTTTGAAGGCTTAGTGTGCTAAACACCGTGTAATGGGAAACATTCTCTGCAAGTTCGCCCACTTTCGGCAGAGGATACGCATCAGGGGAAGTGAAGCCGTTTATGGTTTGACCGTAATCGATGATCATGAGCTTCTCATGCCTTTCATTTGTATTAACGGGAACCTGGGCTCGCCAAAGAGAGTTAGACAGTTCAATAATTTTGTCTGCTAGTAGATTCCGAATCTCTGTCTCGATAAACACTGTATCCGCGCTAGGGAAACGAGATTTTGTAACAGTCGGAGTACACACAGGGGCGAGATTGTCAAAAAAAGAGGAAGTATTGACTTTCGTTGCTTCAAGTGTACATATGGCGAATGGGGGTCGTTTACCCGTGAATGGTATGACCATACTTCGGTGTTGGCTCAGAAAATCCAGGCCAAGAATAGCGTGTAAACACAAATCAATACTTTTGTATCGCGTGCTTCTGTACAGCACGGTAGCATAAAGGTGACCGTCAGAAACACAAGATAAATTCGTTGAAGCCGTCGAGATAGCGCTGTCAGAGAATCTTATTGTCCAAACATGCTTCAGTGAGATGCCAGAAGAAATGTAAATTTCGCAGCTACCAGTTTCGATAAGAGCATGAAGTGGAATATTATCCACTATAACACCAACGATTAATTCGAAAAATCCAATGGATGAAGAGATGGTGGAAATGGATGAGATACCAGGGTTCACCGATGATGTGGTACGAATTGAGCTCGGCTTGGATCGGCAAACTTTATTGGAATGACCTTTCTTGCCACATCATCATAACCATCATGGACAGCATGACATCAGTGTTCAACACCAATTCTTCCCTGCCGTAGGAATGACAGAAAGATTCACGAGTAGGGCATTTTGAACGAATGTGCTTACCGTTGCCATAGAAGAAGCAAGATACAGATGTGCTTGCAATCGCGTCACTAGTCAATCTGAGGGATAAAATCGTTCAGCAGTAGCTCCCGTTCGGTGCCTAGCTGCTATGCCACCCGAAGGTTGCACGAGGGCTGAGATACTGCTAGGTTGCCCAAGCTAAGACAGGGGAAGTCGAGAGGCCGGTTCGAACCACGGACCTTCCGATCAGTAAATTCGCGATCTAACCACTTGGACTATCTCGCCCAGTCTGAGGGATAAATGAATCACGAATAGGAGCCAAAGGCTTATCCGCTTTGATGTATGCGGCACCACAGGGGACATGAGAGGACGAGTCGTATGGAAGCGACTGTTGTTGAGCATGTACAAGCAGACGTACCTCGTCAAACGCTTGTTGAAGCTCAATTGCTTTTCTAGTAGTCGTTAGCGAACGGAATTAGACTGAAAACCTGTCTCGAATAGCCTCATCCCGATGTCCATCGGCAGAGACCGCATGAAAATTGCAGTCCTTGGCATGGTAGCGTATTTTTTTGCAGGAATGGACTAATTGATCTGATTCTTACTTGGTAGTAGCCAGTAAGTGACGAGCAAACACTTCATTTTGGGGTCCAATGTACATCGCTCTGAGTATTTGGATGGCGTCTTCGTAAGTACTAAATTCACGAACATGCTGATAGACGGAGAAAGAAAATTTACCGAAAGTTTTCTTTGGTCAACGTTTGAGAGTTCGATGCATGAGAGGAAATTTCTAAACTTTTCTCGCCAATGGATCCATTGTTCTGAGGCAGAAGAGGATTGGGGATCGGCTGCAAACCGACCTGGGCATTCCATTTTTATATTTTTACAAGATTAAATTGTTGTGCACTCGAATGATTGAACCAGAGATATAACACAAAGGAGGCCGGTGCTGGAGGAGAGTAGGTCGAGCCTACTTTCTGTGCACTCGATTGAACCAGAGATATAACACAAAGGAGGCCGGTGCTGGAGGAGAGTAGGTCGAGCCTACTTTCACACAGAATGTTCTACCTGATAGGAACGCCTCAATCCAAAGTGGAATTCTTCCTTGAATCCCGAAAGACTCAGGTTTGTGAAGCACGTGTGGGACTCGTTCGAATGCTTTCAAGGAGTCGAAAAATATGGCACCCGATGAGTCCCTCGTCCTCGGCCTGGGTTAAGCTGTCCATAAATACGAACATGTTCGTCACGCAAGAACGGTTTGGGAGAAATCCATGTTGAACTGTAGATAGCTAGTTGGTGTTAGTAAGATCTAGGATGGCTCGCTCCAGAATGCGTTCCACCACCTTGCACGGCACCCTAGTAAGGCTAATAGACTTGTAGCTACCGGGCGATAGTCGGGCATCAGTTTTATAGATTGGCGCGACAACCACTCCCTTCCAAGTACAGGAAAGGTGGCTTTGGTCAAAAGACTGACGAAACGTCAGGTGGAAACGATTTACCGGTGAAAGGCGTTTCCTTCAGGGTCCTTGTATGGACCTCATCTGGCTGCAACGCGCAGAACAGGTTGATCTTGTACAAGAGTTGGCGAATGTCCCCTATGCGAAGACCAAGTCGGTTATAGGCTGTTCGCAGTTACGCCTTGACAAGATTGGATGTGAGGAGGACGATGAGGCTGAATATATACTTGCATATTGTTCTCTGTAAACCTCAAACACCACTATTGGGTCACTCGTGGGTTCTCCGTTCATGTCCCTCGAGGAAAACGCGGTTGCCTTGTTTCTAACACCACTATTGGGTCACTCGTGGGTTCTCCGTTCATGTCCCTCGAGGAAAACGCGGTTGCCTTGTTTCTGCGGCGATGTCTGGTACTTATCCGGGTAGCTGCAGCTACCACTTCACTTTCCTTCATGGAGCAGAGTTGCTCAAAATTTTGTGAGGAATCAGTTACTTTTCAAATGACTCGAGGGGCAACGGTAGACCGTTGAAACAGCATCCTTTTGACGGGAAATGCAAGTGCGCTCCAATTTCTGCAGAATAAATCGCCCCGATCACACGTCATGCGGCGTCATTCTCTCTGATCGGTTGAATTCTCAATGGCAGTAGCATTCAAAAATGAGGGTCTGGCTGAAGACATGCGATGCAAGCAAATTCTGGTTGAAGCGCGCGCATTCAAACTGCTTTTGCGTACAAACCAAGGTTTGTACTTGCAAGTGAAGAACGATGTAAATGCTTAAAGCGCGAAACTCAAGGAAAGCTGGAATGCTTTAGCCAGCAGAAAAATAGTCCAAAATGTTTGGGTCATTTATTCTGGGAAAGCTCCATATAGACGGCGAGGGATACGCAGTTTGACCTCTGTCGAATAAATAAGTTAACTTAACATTACCAAACATGTCCGCATGACTAAAATGTTTTTTATCGATCTCTCTTCTTTTACGCGACCTTTTCATGACTATCCATACCACTTCCCCTGAGATAAGGGTAGCAGGAAATCGACATATATGTTTTCAGCTATCTCGAATAGGCTCACCGCACTGTCGGACGTTCAATTGCTTTTAACTGGTCAATCGACGGCTGCCAACGAAACTGAGTGTTCTTTGAAGGAACCCCGAAACAGAAAGCCGAAAAGAAGTCGAGTGACGGAACGCGGATTCACACCACGACCTCCCGAAGCGCAAGCTTACCCCACTACGCCATTTGGCTGCAGAATACCGTTGGTGGAAAATTTGTTGAGCGGCTAAGCCGGCGTGGACCAATCGTATACTCGAGTTTGGTTCGTGAATTAATTGAAGGTCGCTTGAGCGCAGCGGAGGTATGTGATAGGGATTTGCATCAAAAACTAATTTCCTGATGTAGCCGTCGCAGCAGTTTAACACAGCCTGGTTTGATGAATATCGTCGTACATCTTGGTCTTATGGACTGTTATTTCATAAATCGCGAACTTTCAAGGTCCCGGAACACCACTGATTCTCATTTTTACCCGTTTCCGAGAGATAGAACATGAAATTGCACTTTAGCCTAATTTGGCCTTGTTCTGTTTACTTTAGGCACGGAATAGCATCTGCAGAATATTCAATGCGAATTCTATCCAGGAAAATCGGTCAATAAAATCTGTTTGCTTTATACTACTCAGACTTATCAGATGAGATAATTTTGTTCAGCGAACTTCGTCACGACACATTTTCCGACGGAGCTCAGCTTCCATTGAGTAAGACACTGTTATACGACCGCATGAATTGTGCAGTGACGATACAAAGGACATCCATGTAGGTGATCTCCTTTCCCAGTAGAGAGTGGAGCGTCCCCAGTTGGCTGCAGGCAAATTACCAACGCAGTGACGTCATTCGTGTTAGGATACGTCACACAGTGAAAATGTAATAGTGTCAGATAAGGGCATCCATTGCCGGTGCTCATGATAATAATAATAACGATGATGTTTATTCCCAACTTGTGGGTGGCATACCGTCTGGCATGGTCATACGTTTACAGGTAGAATGAAGCATGACTGGGGGGTTTGCGGGCAGTGGGGATTGCGCGAAAACAGGACAATGTCATAAACAGTGAGAAGTATCCGCTGAAATGATTATGATAGGTTTCTTTCAAAACTCGTAGGGAACAATGGGCATGCGGTCCGACTAGGTCAAGGACATAGCCAGCTGACATGAACTAAAACTGAAAACCATTGCCGGCCTTTGCTTACCTTGAGTGGTTGGGTAAATGGCCGAGGTCACGACGAGCAACAGCTCAGATGTAGATGGAATAATTCGAAATGGAAAAACAAGTTTTGTCACAAAAATATGGTTTATTCTGAAACTAAGTGAATTCACTGGTTGCGCTGTTGCAGGGAAATCAGCTGCAAGGGATAGGTTCACGGATTCACGGAGTGATACACAGGATCGAGGCCTTTCTCAAGATTCCCTGGTCGGTTTTGTTCTTGTCGGTCAGTGGCTGTCGTTCACCTGAAGGGCACAAGTGAAAAAAAGGTGTAGCACTGCTATTTATGTTCTCAGCGCGGGGCAGCATGCTTGCCAGCGCGAGGACTCGCATAAATAAATGTCTAATAGTGCTTTAAACTGGGTTCTAGAAGGAGCGTGGACAACTGTCGGAGGAAGGTCATTCCACGCAGC